AACCCCAACCAAACTCCACTAAAAAAAACCACTCCCCCCAAAAAAAAACAAATGCAGGACTTTAATAGTACTTCCTTCCTGATCCTTTCCTTGCTGCATTAGCTCACAGAGACGGCATGTTTTGGAAGCACAGAGGAATACATCAGTGCCAAGTGTCATTGTTTATTCCCGTATTACGGATTTTGACACCTGTTTGCAGTCACGCTCTCAAGTCTGGCCTCCCCAGCCCCAGGTCAGCACACCACACCGCCCGTGACCATCTTCTCCCATTGTACATTCCTATACAAAGCATTTCCAGGATTACTTTCAGCAAATAAACCGGCACGTCTCGTCCTGGCAATTTGTGTTTGCTCTGGGCTCAGGACAGCCCAGAGCACCCAGGCGCAGACGGGACACGTGGGTCTGACCCGCTGGAATGAGGACCGCAGCCAGGAAACAAGCAGGTACCAGAAAGGTGACACCACTGGGGCTTCTCAGAGCTGGAAATGGCATAGAAGTGTTGCTATTTGAGAAGATCATTAAGTCTGGTAAGGAGAGAGTATCATCCCCCCCGCACCCCAGAGCACAGCAGAGGTGGCTGTGAAGCTGTGGCAATGCTTTGGGAACACGTCTGCAAACCTAGCACACATGCTGCTGGGAGAGAGGCACAGGACAGCTTGCACAGGGCTGCAGAGATCGTTAAGTGTCCACAGGGGATGCTGAACCCACAGGCTCGCTCCCATCTCCTGGTAGGGATCTGCCACCCAGCACAGCATCTCCTATTTGTGCTCCTCCAGCAGCCTCTGCTGCTGCTCCACAAGTGCCAGCTTTCACATCCCTGCTTCTTCTCTGGAAGTGCCAGAGAAGCTCTCTGGGATATATTCTCCTTCCCTTTACCATCCCAAAGGCAAGGAAGTTGGCAGCTCAGAGAACCCACCAAACCACTGTAAGCTGATGCTTTCTGAAACTCCTGAAGTCCTCTCGCGCTTTACTCCAGGGCACTCTGTTTGCCTACAGATCCCTTGTCCTCCCGAACCTGGGCAGGCCACGTGGAAGGATCTGGTTTCAGGAACACCAGTAATTATAGAACAGCACTGACAAGGGAGGAGCTCATGGGAATGACAACAACACTTCCCAAGGCAAACAGTGGGCACAGGGTGTTACAGACTCAGAGCAGCATTTAAATGGAAAACCAGGAAAGCAGCAAGTGGAACAAGCTGTCACTGCAAACAGGAGCACTGCTGGCAGCAAATAAGGCTGTCATTTGGCAGCACTGTGCATACCAGGACCCATCTTAGTTTTCCTCAAAGTCTCAGTGTCACTGGGACACCAGCAAGTGTCACCCCTGCTTTGGATGGGGCAATCAGCTCCCCAGAAAAGCAATGAGGGGTAGTAAAGTAGCACCAGGCCAATGCATTGCTCTGGATCATACACAGGTGTGTGCAGCCTGCTGTCAGGAGCCAAATACCCAGCAGGCCAGTAAGTTTTATTGCTAGGCTGCCAGTGCTTCCAGATCCAGTAAAATGCCCACAAAAGCAGTAGCAAGCCTTCTCCTCTTTGCAGTGACAGAGATTTTTAGATCCCATGGGCTAACCAGGGGGAGAAAAAAAAATAAAAATAAAAAAATCCACCAGCCTATAAATTTTCTTATGCTTACACTTGGACTCCCAGAAAAGTGCTACCCATTTTGTAGACCTTAGCAAAATATCCTGGGCACCAGCCATGCCGCTCTGATCCCAGGAGGCAGCTGACAGTGAGCGATTATGCCCAGGCACAAGTTCAGATGATTCAGCAGGGCTTGGGAACATACACACCGGAACGGTTAGAACAAATCACCATGTTCGTTGCATCTCTATTTCAACCACAGAGTAGGAAAAAAGAGTCTGAGTTTGACTGCCTACTCGGTACAGAAAACTCCAGAGAACATTAGAATAACTTTGTTACACAAACTAGTTCAACACCCTCTTAGGGAACTAGAGGAGAATGATGTTTCCTTACTATTTTTGGCCACATTCACACAGCAAGAGCCGACTGGAGGAACAGAGGTTTCCCTGTGTTTTCAGCAGTGATATGAGCAGCAATCATGTCAGCATGATCCTGCCAAGACTCCTCTGCCAATTAGAGGATTGCAGTGTGCTCTGACCATTTGGATTTCCACCTCAGCCCCTAGAAAACAAAAACGCTTGAGCAAAGCATTAGTGCCTTTCATAACATCCTCATGTCTTTGGTACAGTCTTGGGGGTACGGAGAGAGCAGCAGAGGTACAGAGTGAGCCAACAACCACCACCTCCCAACATAGCCAGCTGCTGGGAGCTCAGCGGGCTCCACCAGCTCCAGCCCCAAGCTCATGCTCACCAACAACCCTTCTCCAGAGATCCCCATGTACCACAACGTAACACCTACCCTATGGACATGAGAACCCACAGATTTTTTTTTTTTTTTTTTTCCAGAGATGTGTGTCTCTGGCCATCAGCCCTGTGGGGTTAACAGCTTTCAAGGTCTAACAGCTCTAGCAGAACCCATATAATCAACTTAAAGGTGAAAATCAGATTTGGGCATTTTCAGAAATATTCCAGATTTGCATTAAGATGAAATCAAGAATTGCATTAAAAAAAAAGTTTGTAAAAATTCAAGCAGGATAGGGATTTGAGCTTAGGTTCCCATCACCGAGGTGACAGCAAAAAACACTGCTTATTTTGAAGCCATCTCACCCATCCTCTCTGTAGCCTGACAAAGCTTTTCCTAATGAGACATTCATTAGGCAGTAGTGTGGTTCATAGCAAAGTTTGTCTTAACAGACCGTTAGAGAAATGTTTCCCTATCAGCTCAGGTAGGAAAGCTCACCTGCCCTTTTAAACCACCAGAACTGTTCCCTGTCTCCATCCCACATCTCCATTATGGGGTTGAACGTGCATGTTCTGGTTTTTGCTATTCCAAGTTCCAGTTCCCAGACCAGGGCAAACCAGAAAACGCAGCATGAGGGCAACGATTCTGGTTAGCACAGACATTATGTGGCTGTTGCTATCCACAAGCCTCAGAGATGTGCTCTGGCTTGACCCAGCACCACAAGAAATGTTCGTGTTTGTGGCCCGTGCTTTCATCCTGCCACCTCCTCCCCTGTCAGGATTCCCCTGCAAACCACAGCCTCTGCAAAACCCAAACCTTTGAGCAGAACCTGTCCACGGGGATCCCCAGGGAAGCACCCAAACACACGCACATACCTCAGAGCTCTTTGCAAGGCCCGTTTGAAAGACCTGACCCAAATGATCTCAGATGTTCACAAGCTCTTGGCTAAGCCTTGGAGGACACAGACATTTTCCAGATGCAGATCATAGCAATGAATATTAGAGCATTTCAAGAAGTCATCCTGAAACTAAGATACAACTCAAGTGAGTTCTGCTCTGAATCCTTCTTGCAACCAAGCAGGGCTGCAGTGAATGCTATCCCAAAACACACATTTTGGGGAAGATGCATTTCACAATCTCCTTGACCACAAGGCTTTATATTGGCATTAATCATTCCACTGTAAACCCTGCTTTGGGAAAGTAATTTCCTAGGCATTCTGCCAATGCAAGCGCATTTCAGAGTATAATATTAAAAAAAAAAAATTAGTTCTACAGAAAAATCTTATTTGTACTCACTACGGAAATCACTTCTGCTTGTCTAGACTTTCCCAGAGTCTCCAAAATTATTGCAGCAGTGATAAGCAGTAAATCTCTGAATAGCAACACTTCTAGAAAAGCAAAGATTGCTCTGCAGCGCCTGATGAGAAAGCAGCTACACAGCCTGACAAATCTGTGGGTATCAGCAAGGGCAGTTGTTCCTGCTATAAAGTAAGGGAGCCAATACAAATCACAAAATAAACCAACATCTCTAAAATTTCACAGTCAAGGCAAGCCAGGCTGGGTTCTGACAGCAAATAACCTTTCAGGCATAAGCACTATAACATCATCTCACCCAATTAAAAAATCATTTGCACACCAGGTCCCACTGCACGAAGGAGCCCAAGAGTCTCTTGTCGTGCTAATTCCTCAGTCTCTAAGATCATTTGCAGATTTCCAGTTCATAATTCAATAGCCGCAGATGAAATATTCCCCGAAAGGCAACAAGACGTACTGTACAAAAATACATATTTGTCAACAGGCAACACGCTAGAGAGATGGAGACCATTAACATCAGTAAGCAATTCTGTACAACAATGCTCTTCTGATCAGCAAAGCCTCATGTGGCTCATTACAAAATCCTCTCTGCATGCTGCAAAGATCCTTGGAAGTCCATGTCTCGAATGCCAGAACAGAGACAGTACAACAGTTGCACAAACTTGACACACAAAACCACATCTCTGTCCAGCTAACCTCCTTAGATGTGTGCTGCGGCAAAAATAAATCCACCCCCTACAGCCACAGCACCATTAGAAGCTACATGCAGCATCTGGGTGCCGAGTGACCACAGTGAAGACTTTTGGGCATCGCCTCAGAGGGCTGCAGGCAGGACAACAGCCCGTATTGACCACCTCCTCAAAAACTCTGTCTCAGCTCTGCTGTAACCTGCTCAGCTTTGTCCGAGTAAGGCAGTTAGATAGCGACAGACGGTATTGGTACTGCTGCCAAGATCGTGTGTCCAGATCATTCAGTGATTGGTTACCCAAGTACGATCCCTGATCTCATATACCCTCCCCAATATACAAGAGCCCATTTCAGTCATAAAAATCAGTGAAATAATCAAATGTTAAGTCGCTATACTTTGATGGTAACAGTCGGCTTAGAAGAACAGGATTAGACCATGACACTCACAGCATACTACTAAGCGTAATCCATAAAGATTGTATTCAGAAACTGAAAAAAACAAGGCATAGAGTTTAAATTTTAAAAGAAATTTAACAACGTTTAAGCTCGTGGACAAAAGTGAAACTTGCTGAAAGCAAGCCTCACTTCCTAGGCTCTTCCCTTTCCCAAGTTTTTAAAAACATATGTAGGATAAGTGCTTTGGTAGATCGCCCGCGTGTGAAAGGGAAAGGTTACCTCTCCGGAGCAGCTGTCCCCGTCTGCCTGTCGCTGAAAGCCACCCTTCAGTTACCATGTCAGCACGGAGAGATGAAAACCGAAGTAATCTGCAAGAGAACACAACACAAATTTCCACGACTGTGCCGAAGGCCAGATATTTATGCCGCTGGGAGAACTGGGCTGGATCCAGCGACAGCTCTGAAGTTTAAACACACACTCCCTCTACTGCATGTTGAAACCATAGGCTGGGGTGACTCCCCTCGTGCTGTGGGGAGGCGGGGAGGCAGCCACCACATGCAATCACAGCTGTCTCCCCTGGGCTCCGGTAGCTGCTGCAAACCAGGAGGGTAGAGCAAACCCACGGGTGTCCCAACAGAGATGGCCCCAACCCCTCACCAGGCTTTGAGCATCAGGATGTCACCTTTGCCTCATGTCACCCACAGCCAGAGGCTGATGACTCTGAGCTTCTATGACAATGCATGAAGTTGATGCTAGAAAAGGTCTATGGTGGCCATAAGGTGGCTTGTTTACTCAGCTTGCTTAATCTCCCTTTAAGAGGCTGCCAGAAAGTTACTGCAACTTTAATGAATTTCCCTGTCGGGTGGCTGAAACTTAAGGATTCGGCAGAGTTCATTCACTCTTCTTGGTTTTCCTGATAACTTTGCAAATAGCCTTGTATGAATTTCAGGCTCAGGAAAGCAGCAAGAGACCAACGCTGGAAAAAAATGGCTTGTGAGGCTTTGAACTAGAGGACTTGGAGAAAATATGTTCTATTTTTAGACACAGTTATGCAGACTAACTGGACTAACATATTAAACAAAGATGTTGTGAACATGATGCTACTTGAACCCATGTACCCTCCCTGACATTACCCAGGCTTAGCTGCTCCTCAACCTCAATGGAAAAGCCCCGTTTCGTATTGCTACCTCCAACATGGGATGACTTGCGAGGCAGCCAAGCACTGGCAATGAACCCGGCATTGCCAGCCCCCAACCAAGAGGGGGGCAGCTCGGCAGGCAAGCTGGCAAGTTCAGGGCAGGGAGTGGATCCCACTCAGTGCCGCATGCATTCCTGCACCTCCCAGGTCTGACAAGGCACCGGGAGCTGCAGCTGCTCAGAAGAGGATGAAAAAAGAAAACAAATCCCCTGCTCCAAAAGCCGAGGCTCTCTGCACACTAGTGGGAGTGTGGAGGGCGTTTCCTATGTTGCTGAGCAGCCCGTGTACATCCACGGGAGGGCATGAGTGTGAGCTCCAAAAAAAATAACCCCAGTCCCTTGCATTGAAGCATTATTTGCATCAGGATCGCTCTTTCTTGCTGTCAGCGATATAAAAATCACAGCCCCCCTTGAAGAAAGCGATTGCCCTCGGTTTACAGGCAGGGGGGCCGAGACATCAGCTGAAACAAGCCTGCCCGAAGGTCAGCCAGCAAGGGAAGGAGTGCAGATCCAGCACCTGGGCCTTTGCTTTAGTGGGAGCCATAAAACCACACTCAGTAACTTCACTTTCACAGCAGGATGTTAAAGCTACACCAGGTTTCTCATCCCCTCCCTCCCAAAACGGAAGGTAGTTCTTCTAAACAGCCCAGACAAAGTTCTTCTTTAACCTTCCTGATGAGAAACAATAATAAAGTCATTACAACCCCACTGGCACATCAGGAGCGGGCTTTCTTCATCTCCACCAGCAATAAAGCCCGTCCCTGATTCAGTAACAAAGTGTAACGTTGATGCTGTCAACGAGGACATGAATCACACGCCGGGAGTGCACGAATCACACCCTGAGCTCTTTCCCATCACAGATCAGAGTGCTTTACTGCTGCTGCTGCCAGAGATCTAAGAATTAAAACTAAATTACTGGCTCACCTCGTCCTGCTCACAGCTAAATGCCAGGGCATGCCCCATCACCATCACACACAAGGCAATACTTGCACCAGCTCCTGAAAGCTTCCTCTTGTATCCCTGGCTGACACATGATAAGTCACAGAGAAAACTCCCACCTCAGCACAGCCTGGAGCACGTTTGTACCAGAAGGGGAAAGGGATTCTCCGCTGAAGGTAGCAAGGCAGCTTGCACGAAGAGAGACAGCAGGAAGAGGGCCAAGTGGAGCACAAACGAGAAACGGGACATGGGCTGCTTCAACCCACAGGTCACTGGTTCAAGAGATCAACATTGCTACCAGCCTTGGGACCTTGATTCATGGGGTGGCCACTGCTGCATCCTCTTTCCATGCTCAGATTCCTCTGCATCGCCATGATGGACGTTGCCCGGATCCTATGGCACATCCAAAGCCTGCTTGCTCCTCTGCCCACCCACAGCCTGTTCATAGGGGCTTTCCCAACACGCGGCGGCTCAGGAGACCGATTCCCTCCTGCAAGCACAATCGTCACTCGCGTGCAAGAGGCCTCCCAGGACAGCTGTTGAAGGGGAAGGTGGCCAGAGCTAAGATAAGTTACATGAGGATGCTGTTTGAAGCCATGCAGATACAACAGGATCGATGACAGACAGATGCCTTGGGAAAAGCATAGATGGGATTGTCACAAAGGGTGTGTATTCTCTCCCGCTCCACTGACAAGTTGCATCTTCAGCCACTTTTCCTCTCTGTGCCTTGATTTTCCATCCGGGTGTTATCAATTAATATCTATAATATGATTGAAATAACCAGGGAACTGCTAAAGTCCTGTATACAGCCCCCATTAGTTAATATTTAAAATAGGCAAACAATAACTAGACATGATTTAGGGTTTAGAAACTAACTACTAGACAATGGGGCTTTATGTTTGTGTCAGAAAAGGTAACAACTGATCAACAAACCTTGCAGAAATGCTTGGAGCTGCCAAGACAGAGTAAGAAGTAGGTAAAAAGCAATTTCTACAGGGGGAGATCGCAACCACCGACTCATTGACCACCTACTCAAATTATACCACCTACTAAAAAGAAGACAATGAAGGAAGACAACAGAGTCTGCACACTAATTTACATGAGAGGTGAAGAAGTAAGAACTGATCATTAAAGGAAATAATAATGAATATGTATTACTTAAGTGTATAAATGTGGGAATTTTTGAGACAAAGGTGTGCTGTCTTGAGACAGGCACCCATTCACGTGCATCAATGAAATTAATGTGAAAATACCTCGGCTCTGTGTTATTGGCTTGCACACCAGGCAAATGAACCCCGTCTGAGGGACAACACAGGGACACTAAAACACACCTACCTTGTAAACAGGTTTTGAACCTTAATTCACTGGCTTCCGTAAATAGGTTGGAGGCTCTCTGATCATAAAAAAATAGGGCTGTTAAACACCACTTGAGGTGGAGTCAGTGCACACAAACTTTTAGAAGTATAGCAAGGCCAAGAGGCCTTTCGATCACACAAAAAAGGAGAGGTCAAAACTCATTTGGGGAGGAACAGTTCAATGCAACAACAGGATCCTAGCTGGTTATAATTACAGAGCTTGGAGCTAGCCAACAAGGAAGGAAAAAATGCAACAGGTTGGTAGAATAAAACAAAGGACGGAAGCAGGAGGTGAAAGAAAATTAGGTTTCTTGCTTCAAGGTCCTGCCACCTACTTCTGCATGCTTCTTTACCTTTCACCTAGGAGTTTTTACAAGTGCTTTTAAAGCCAATTAAGAGTTACATTCAACCCAGCCAGCATGCAGGTACCACCTTCCTGCATTTGGCTACGAGCATTCGCAGCACGGGACAAGTGACCTCGTGCAGAACTCTCAAGTACTTTAGAGCCACTATTTAATAAAGGCGGCAGTACCCCTACTTTATAGGTGGAAAAAACACGGCACAACAAGTAAACATCTTTTATCTGGGATATCAGGGAAAGCAGGAGCAGAACGTGGAGATAGGAGGGATGAGAAAAAGACTCTCTGATCCCTTCTGCTCAAGCAACCCTTCACCTGATGCACCACTGATGGACCATCCTGACCCTCTTGCTTTTCCTCCTTCCAGCCCCAGACCCCCACACAGTGCCCCTCACTGGTACCCTAAAACCGCAGGCCAACTCCCCCTCTGCCACCCCACCTTTGGAGAGCAGAAAGGCAGACTGCCCCCCCCCCCCCCCCCCCCCCCCCTTGGGGGCCCAAAAGCCGAACTCCTCCCCCCCCCCAGCCTCCCCCGTTTGGGCCACATTCCATCCTCCGTCTTCCCTGATTTCCCAAGCAGGAACGAGAGCCTGCACCCTAAAGTCACTGATGTGTCCCTGCCCTCCTAGCCCCCTCCAAACCACTGCCCCCCCCAAATCCCCCCCTGCCTCCTCGACGCTCAGACCCGTGCACCAGACCTCCCTCCCCCTTCCACCCCACACCCCCAGAAAGCCCCCGCGTGCCACCTCC